CATTGGGGTGACACTGGCATGCTGTTGGGGTGCCCAGGTCTGGGGTGTGCACAGCTGCAGTCCTGCTGGCCATGCCCAGCCTGGCCTGGCTTCTGGCCCTGCTCTCAGTCAACAGTGACACGTTGCTCTGTCACTACCTGTTCGCCGCCTCCAACTGCCTCCAGGTCAGTGGGGACCACCTGAGACTCCACCCTTGGCACCCCCCCAAACACACACCCTGGGGACCTCCAGAACCACTGCCCCTGGGACTACCAAAGACTCCAGAACTCCAATGCCTCCCCCCCCGGGATCCCCAGAGACCCCAGAGCTCCCTGAACCTCACACCCTTGGGACCTCCAGAGTCCCACACCTATTTGTGGGGCACCCACCCAGTGGGCACAGAGAGGTCCTTTGCCATAGGCAGGACACTAATGGGAGGTACCCAGTGTGTATGGGGGCAGCTCAACCACTCCATGGTGCCCATGGGGGGGCACCCAGTGCATATGGGGGTCCCTCATCCTGTCTGTGATATCAGTGGGGGGCACCTAGTGGGTATGTGGGGAGACCCTCATTCTCTTTGAGGCGCCAATGGGATGCACCCAATCTGGATAGGGACCTGTCTGGGGTGCTGCTGGGATCCTCCCAGGCTGTTCACACCCTTCATTGTCTCCCCCCTGCCTCCTCTCTGCCCAGGGCCCCCTCATCTTCCTGTGCTGTGTGGTGCTGAGCAAGGAGGTGCGGAGGAGCCTCCGCCTGAGCTGTGCCCGCTGCCACCACCCACCACTGGCCACCAAGGCCACCCTGACCCCTGTGAGTGCTGGGGGACACGGGGGGTGCTGGGTAGCGAAGGGCAGCCCATGCCATGGCTATGACATTGCTGTGCCCTTGGCAGGCCTATGGCAGGGACAGCGCATACGTGGCAGGGCAGCTGTACCCGCCCCCAGGTGGTGGGTCCTCGGGGTCCCTGCACAGCACCGCACGCTCGGGCAAGAGCCACCACAGCTATATCCCATTCGTGCAGCGGTACTGGGCACAGGAGCTGGGGCATGGGTTTTTGTGGGGTCCTGGGCTGGTGTGGCAATGGGATGACAAGATGGAATGGTTATGGGATGGTGGGGTAACAGGCTGCTGGCGTGGTTGAGTGGTGGGTTGGTGGGGTGGCAGGATGGCATGGCATGGGGGTATTGGGATGGCAGGATGGTGTGTGGTGGGGTGACATGGTTGTGAGGGTGTTGGGATGGCTGGGTGGTGGGGCAATGGCATGGTTGCATGGCAGTACAGTGGCAGGATGGCATGCATTTGGAGTGGTGAGGTGGTAGGGTAGCGGGGTGGTGGCAGAGTGGGGTGTTGAGGGGGTGTCAGGATGAAGGGGTGGCAAGGGTAGGTGTCAGGGTGATGGATATGAGGGTGGTGGGTGTCAGTGGATATTGGCATGTCGGTGGGTGTTGGGTGTCAGTGGGTGGACATTGTGTTGGTGTCAGTCACTGGGTGACAGTGGATGGTAGGTGTTCGTGAGTGACGGTTGGGTCCTGATGAGTATTGTGTCCCCACAGGGAGGACTCAGGGCTGGCAGGCAGCCCAGGGCTGGGGCCAGTGCCACTGCCTGAGCCTGGGGGGCTCTTCCTTGATTCCCAGGACCAGCCCGAGGGTATGGCCTCACCCAGAGGGCAAGTGTGTCCAGCCTCAGCCCAGGGGGCAGGAGGTGTCTCTGGGCACCCCCTGACCTGTGACCCCCCAGAGCACGACACGGACTCGGACAGTGACGTGTCCCTGGATGACCTGAGTGGCTCCTATGGCTCCACACATTCTTCTGATAGCGAGGATGACGCCCCCTGTGGCTGGGACCCCTTACCCAGGGCTCCCCTGGGTCCTCCTGGCCCTGGTAACACCCTCAGGGGAGGTGGAGATGGGAGATGGGAGGCCTTCAACCTGGCTGGGTGCTGATGTGGGAGGCACAGAGTGGACAAGGGATCCCTTGTCCAGCCTGGAGTTTTGATAGAGATGTATAGTGGGTATGGGGTAGAGGGTCCCTTGTCCAGTCTGGGGTGGTGATGGGGGACACATAAAAGGTTTGGGGGGTCCCTCATGCAGTCAGAGGTGCTGATGGGGGCGCTGAGGGGGGAAGGATGGCCCCTTGTCCAGTCTGGGGTGTGGATGGGACTGACACAATGGGTTTGGGTGCATCCCTCACAATGACTATGTGCTGATGGGGGCACCCAGTGAGGATGGGGGGGCAAGGTTCCTGGTCCTGCCTGTCCCTGCTTCCTTCCTTTCCTCACAGGTGACCCCCTGCTGACCCCGGGATGCCCATACTGGCCAGGGGAGTTTGTGACGACAGCGAGTGAGAGTGAGGGACCAGGAGGTAGCGAGGGACTGCGAGTGCAACCATCTGGTGACCAGGGACACCCCTGGGGTGATCCCCCCCAGCCCAATGGCGAGGCATTTCCCAGGGGCCCCCTGCTGCTGCCCGTGCCCCACCCCCACAAAGGTATGGGCTGCCATGGCAGGGGTGGGCACTCCAAATCTGGCCTCGCCACCCATGGGTAACGCCTCTGCAGGGATCCTGAAGAAGAAGTGCCTGCCCCCCATCAGTGAGCGGGGCAGCGCCCAGCGCCCTGGGCCGCCCCCACCGCCTCCGGCTTGCACAGCTGCCTCCTCTGGTAGTGACGGGGGGGCACCCCCAGTCCCCCGACCTCGGCAGAGCCTCCAGGAGCAGCTCAGCGGCCTCACCCCCATTGCTATGAGCATCCGCACAGGCACCGCTGACGAGGATTCCTCTGGCTCTGAGTGAGTGCCCATCATATCCAAGAAGTGCTCACTGGGTATTAGGGTTCCCTCTGGGCACCCATTGGGTTTGAGGGTGCCCTTGGGGTACCAGGGTTCCTGTTGGGTGGACAAGCAGTGAAACACTGCTTATTAAGGTATCCTTTGGGTGCCTATCAAGTACAAGGATGGCTGGGTACCAGGGTGCCAAGGTTCCCATTACACCCTTATTTAGTGCCAGGGTTTCTTTCAGCTGCCCGTTGGGCACCAATAGGGTCCAACACTGCTTGTTGACTGCTCATCAGGTGCCACAGTACTGACTAGACACCCATTGAGTGCAATATTACTTACTGAGTATCCATCAGGTTCCATGGTTCCCTTTGGGTGTCCACTGGATGCCCATCAGGTGCCAGGGTTCCTTCTTGGGTGCTCACCAGGTCCCAGCAGTCCTTTTGGGCGCTCATTGGATGCTAGGGTGCCCTTTGACTGCCCACCAGGTGTATGGGTGTTTGTCAGGTGCCCATAGGGCACCAGGATAACCAACAGGTGACCACTGGGTGCCAGGATTCCTCTTGGGTGCCCATGGGGTGCAAGGGTGGCTGTTGGGTGCCCACTAGATGCCCACTGGGTGCCCATTGAGTACTGGGGTACCCACTGGATGCCCATTGAATACTCACTGGGTGTCCGTCAGGTATAACCGCAGCCATTGGATGCCAATTGACTGTCCCTGAGTGCCCACTAACCACTGGATGCTCATTGTGCATCCATTGACCATTATATATCCATTTGGTGCCCACTGACTGTCCATTGGGTGCTTAATGACCTCTGGGTGCACACTAGGTGCCCATCAGGTCTAACAGCACCTGTTGCGTACCCACTGACCATTGGGTCACCCATTGAGTATTGGGGTGTCCACTGGTGGCCCATCAGGCCTAACAGCACTTGTTGGGTGTGTGTTAACTGTTCATGAGTGTCCATTGACCACCGGGTGCCCCTTTGGTCTAACAGTGCTCATTGGGTGCTGGAGTGCATGTTGGGTGCCCATTGACTGTCCAAAGGTGCCTATTGACCACTGGGTGCCCACTGGGTGGTGGGGTGCCCACTGAGTACCCCCTGACCACCCACAGGTGCTCAGGGCAGAGCTAGCACAGCAGCACTAACCAACTCTTCTCTCCTCCTCTACCCCCCAGATTTCTGTTTTTTAATTTTCTCCATTAACCCAAGGGGGCTAGGGGGGCTCCCCCCCAACCCTCACCTCTCCATCTCCCACCATGGCTGGGTGCTGGGTGCTGGGGGGCACAGAGGGCACCCTGGCACCCATCTCCCCCATCACGCATCTGTCTGTCTTGTTTTTTATCCACCCCCACCCCCCGCTTTGTATCCACTTCCCCCATCTGTCCGTGCCCCCCCACCAGGAGCGACGAGACCTCAATCTAATGGGGACCCAGCAGGCAACCCACACACTGTGCCAGGGACACCAGGACAGGGAGGGCACCAGGATGGTGGGGGGGACACACCAGGATTGGGGGCATACAAGGACTGGGAGGACATCAGGAGGGGGCAGGGAGCCACATCCCTCCCCCCCCAGTGCACTTTGTAACCTTGCAGGGATTGGCACCTTGCAGGGGGGTAGCACAGGGTGCCCCTGTTTTCCCCCCATGATCACCCCCAACCCCTTTGCCCAGCAGAGTGCTTTATTTAAAAAATACATGAAAATACAAAAACGGGAATTTATAACCAACTTCCCCTATTGTGCCAACCCCCCTGAAGGTGCCACCCATCCCATGGTGTGAACTTCCCCAGGTGGGGGGCATGTAGAGGGGGGGACCAGTTGGGGGTTCAGGGATGTCTGGGGAACCCCCCCTCCCCTGCCCAGGGGTGAGGCTCAGGTGGGGGAACCGAGGGATGGGTGTTGTGGGGTGAGGGACCCCTGGGTACTGGGGGATGTGGGGGGTTTCCTACTGCTGATTGGACCTTTTGTAATTAAAGCAAAACCCAGTGCATGCCTTGGCTCATCCCTGGGGAGGCCCGTGCCTCTCCCACCCCAACCTCAGCCGGTCCCTGGCGGTTCCAGCTCTGCCCTGCCTTGGCAGCCAAGGGGTTCCTTGGCTGCTCCCTGGGGGCTCCTGGCACTGCCTGCCTCCTTCCAAAACCTCAGTTCATCCCTAGGGCTGCCTTGGCTCTGCCCCCCCCAGCCTAGGTACCTTGGCTGGTACCTAGGGGGGGGTCTGGGTGCCCCCAGGGTCTCTGGGCAGGTGCAGGGTGGTTTGGGGGTGTCACCTCGGGGTGCTGCTCACTGCCGTCTTGCGTGGGGGCCGCAGGCGGGCAGGGGGGGGTCCTGGTTTGCACCCCGAGGCAGCAGTTGGGGGGGCTGCCCGTGCTGCCCCCACACCTGCAAAGGGGAGAGAAGCCATAGAGAAACTGAGGCATGGAGGAGGGGGCATCCCCTGTGACCCCCTAACCCCACTACATCCTTACCTCTGGGAGTGGGGGTCCTCCCACCCACTGCTGGAGTCCGAGGGGACACCTTGGGGAGGGCAGTGGGTGCAGGGGAACAGCCAGAGGGGACAGATGCGGTGGTGGTCCTGGCGTGGGGCTGGCGGCTGGAGGGCGGGCAGGGGACTGTACCCCTCCTTGCCTTCGGCTGACCTGGGGAGAAAGGGGGGGTTGGGGTATGGCCCAGGAACCCCTATAGCCGTGGTATCCCCATCCCCTTGCCATCACTACCTGCTGTCCCCCCCCGGGGGGGCTCTGACCTGCCCCGGGCACCAGCCCACTGCCCCTGGGGAGGGCACGGCCGGGAGGGGCCCACATGGCTGGTGGGGAGCCCCCTGGCCCCAGAGGGTCCCTTCACCGCTGCTGTGGAATTACGGCTGGGGGGTGCCTGAAAATAGAGGAGGAGATATCACTCAGTGGGTGCCTCGCACCCAGAGGGCCTGGGGAGTTCATGATGCCCCTCGGAGACAGGGGGCCACTCACTGCCCCCATCTAGGATGGGTTGGGGGGGGATCTGGGCGTTCAGCCCGGGTGGAACACAGCTACACTGGGACCCTACCCCTGGGTCTCACCTACCTCGGGAACACTGGTGGCAGCAGAGGCCCCCGGGGGTTTGGCTGGGACGCGAGGGATGGGGGCAGGTCCCTGCGACTCCACGGTGGGCAGGAGTGCCCGCACCGGGCTGTCCTTCACCACGAAGGTCTGGCGGCGGGGGCTGCGGGGGGTGCCGGGGGGCGTGGCGGCGGGTCCCGGGGGGTCTCCAGGGGCGGGAGGGGGCAGGTGACACCCCTCCAACTGCGCCGCCAGGCGCGTGGCCTCCCGCACCATCTCTTCCAGACGGGCCCCGCGCAGGGGACTCCAGCGCCCGTTGCTGCCTTTGTGCCGGCACCCGCCGCCCGGGCTATCCTCATCCTCCTCTTCCTCCTGGCTTCAGATCGGGCGGGGGTAGGGGGAAAGGTGGTGTCAGCCCCCAACACCACTGCCAAGAAGTGGCAGGAGCCCCCCATGCCATCCAGGACACCATTCAGTGAGTGACATGTCCCCCAGGACCCCCAGAATCACATCTATGAAGGAGGTATGTCCACAGGACTCCCAGGACCCTGTTCATGGGGTGACATGTCCCCTAGGATCCCATCTTTGGGGTGTGTTGTCCCTTGTGGCCTCCAGGACCCCAACTGTGAGTTGCCACATCCCCCCCAACCCCATGCATGGGGTGACATGTCCCCTAGGACATTGACAATGAGGTGCCATCTCCCCCTGTCCTCCATGTCCCATCCTATTCCCCATGTACCCAGCTGTAAGGTGCCCTTTTCCTCCTACCCCTCTGTACCTGTCCGATGGGGACAGCACGCCAAAGTCGAAGCTCTCCTCGGTGACAAATCGAACATCTGGGGGGACACTGCAGATGAGCGCCAGCCTCCCCCACCCCAGGGGGGGAAACACGGGGGACATGCAGCGCTGGCACTGCCGTACCTCGGTCATCGGCCATCGCCTCGGAGCACCGGGGCCACCTGTGGGAGATGGGGGGGTCACCACTGACGCAATCGGGGTCCCCCACCCATGCCCCTACCCGCCCTCCATGTCCCCAACCCCCGCTGGGCCCCGGTGGCACCGGCCAGCGCACGGGTGACACGGCCGGTGCCAGGCGCCGCCGGGCTCAGTGCCACCGGGATGGGGACAGGGATGGCTCCGCTGGCGCCAGTAGGCACCCCCAGCCCGGGTGTCCTCAGTGCCACAATAGGAGGTCCCAACCCTGCACCCTGATCCCTGAGAGTCCCCAGTGCCACCACGGTGGTACCCAGTCCCTATCGGGGGGACCCCAGCCCAAAATTGAGGGGCTCCAACCCCATTGGGAAGTCGCAGCCCCGCATCCGGGGGAACCCCTCTCCCACACCCACACCCCGATCCCAGGAGGCCCCCAGCCCCACATTTTGATCCCCGGGGCATCCCAGCCCCACAGCCTGGGGACCCAGCCCCACATCTTGATCCTCAGGGGATCCCAGCCCCACACCAGAGGACCCCAGCCCCATACTGAGGGGGTCCCAGTCTTGAATCCCGATCCCGAGCGGGTCCCATCCACATTCCTAGGCCTCCCAGCTCCCACGCCGATCAGCCCCAAACCCCGATCCTGGGGGTCCAATTCCCACTCCCGGCTCCACTTCCCAGCCCCACACTGAAGGGTCTCAGCCCCATAATGGGACGATTCCTCCCCCACACCTGAGGAATCCCCCAGCCACGCACCCCCCCCCAGCCCCGGAGACGCCAGTTCCACATTGGGGGGTCCTAGCTCCAGTCTAAAAGGGTCCAGCCCCGCCGACGAGTCTCAGCCCCGCATCTCAATCCGTTTATGACCCCAGCCCCACAATGAGAAGGTCCCAGCCCCCACCGGGGGTCCAGGCCTCCCAGCCCCAGCCCTGGGGGTCCTCAGCCCCTCACCCCGACCCCACGTCACCCCATCTCCGCATGGGGTGGTTTACCCCGCGCTCCGCGGCACCCCCGATCTCCCCGCAGGCTTCCTCTCTACCCGGGGGTTCCGGTCTGCCCCTTGCCCCCCTCTCCCCCCACCACCTCACCGCCCCCGGCTCCCGCTCGCCGCGCGCGCCGAGGAGGCGTGGCCTAACTGAAGGGGCGTGGTCTCGTTCGAATTCCCCCTCCCCTTGCGGCTCAATCGCGGTGCGCCCGCCCCGGGTTCCGATTGGTCGGCGCCCCGTAAACCCTCACTCTGACTGGCCTATCTCCTCGCCTTTCGCCTCACGGACTGGCTCTCGTCCTCCCCCGCGCCCCGCCCACCACCGGCTGGGGGCGTGGCCCGGAAGCGCGGCGGCTGAGGGTCCTTCCGCCACCGGTGCCGCCGTAGCATGGCCGCCGTCCCGCCCGACTCCTGGCAGCCGTCCACCGTTTCCATGGAGACCACGTAAGGGGCAGGGTCTGGCCCCGGTACCGGCACCGGCACGGGAGGCCCCGCCCACCCCTGGTCCCGCCCCCTTCCGCGGCACTGGTAAATCGGTGTCCGCTCCCCTCCCCCCTCGGCTTCTATGCAGTCCCGGTGTTCCTGACTCCCCGGTCCTCCCGGTATATGGGGCAGTTCCCGGTGTCCGTGAGCCCCCGGTACCAGGCAGACCCTGAATTCCACAGGTGCTAAGAAGCTCCCAGGGTCTCCGGAACGGGACAGCTCCGTTATCCCCCGGTATCAACCAGTCCTGGTTCCCGCCCCGGTACTAGAGAGCCCCTGGATCCCCACCGGTGTCCCCCATGGTGTTTGTAACCCCCAGGCCCCTCGGTACCAGGCAGATGCCAGTGACCCCGTTAGCCCGAGTGTCTCCCAGTACTGCACAGAAACAGCCAGTCCTGGTTGTTTCCCCTGGCAGCAAGAGCTGTCCGTGTCTTCCTGGGGATCCATTATTCCCCAGTACCTGCAGCCCCCATTGCCCCCCATCCCTTCTCACCTCTGTGGTCCCTGTCCCTGACTGACTCTGGGTAATGGGGGGATGGGGGGGTTACATTGAGGTGTGTCCTGGTACCCTTCCCGATCCTGTTCCCATTCCTATTATTCCCATTTCCCATTCCCTGGGTGTATCTGCTGGTGCTGGAGCTGTACTAACAGCACAGCCCCCTGACTTTGGTCTGAAACTGGGGTTGGGGGTCACAGTGGGATGACCCTGCTCTGCAGCTGCAGAATTTACCATATAGGTGGAGGAATTTACAGCAAGGTGACCCCATCTCCTGTTTCCATTCCTCATGCTGTTCCCTTGTTCCCAAGGTTGTTCCTGTTCCTGATTTTACCATTCCCAGGATGGGCCCTCCGGTGCTGGGGCTGTACCTGGCAGGCCAAGACCCTAGCTTTGGTCTGAAACTGCGTGTGGGAGTCACAGTGTGATGACCCTGTCTCCAGTTCCCATTTCCAGTGCTGTTCCCTATTCCCGTTCCTGCTGTTGCCATTCACAGAATGAGCCTGCTTGTGCTAGAGCTGCACTGGCAACACAGCCCCTGGCTTTAGTCTGATGCTGGGGATGTGGGTATCACTTTGGGATGACCCCATTTCCTTCCCATTCCCATTACTGTTCCCCATTCCCGGTGCCTTTCCCATTCACACTACCTGTGTTCCCATTCCAGGATGGGCCCACTCGTGCTGGAGCTGTACTGGCAACACGCTCCCCGCACCTGCAAGAACTTTGCTGAACTGAGCCGCCGTGGGTACTACAATGGCACCAAGTTCCACCGCATCATCAAGGACTTCATGGTGCAGGGAGGAGACCCCACAGGTACCGGTGAGTACAGGCCTCTGAAATCTCCCTAGGACCCTCCCTGGTGCCAGCGATTCCTTCTGACCTCTGAATTCACCTGCAGGCCGTGGTGGCGCCTCTATCTATGGGAAACAGTTTGAGGATGAGCTGCACCCTGACCTGAAGTTCACTGGTGAGCGGGGCCAGCACTGGGAGAGCGCTGGAGGGGCATACCCAGGAGCCAGGGACCCCACCTATAGCGGGGCAGGACCCCTGAGAACACACCTGTGGGATGGGATATCCACTGTGTCCTCCTCCATGGGGTGACATGACTTCCAGCTCTCCAGTCATGGGTTGGTGTGTCTCAAGGTGGCTAGTCATGTGGTATGTCCTCCAGGACCCTGGCTGTGAGGTGGCATTTCTCTCCTGTCCCCACAGATCCCATCTATAGGGTGACAAGTCTGCTGTGTCCCCCAAAACCCCATTCATGGAGTGACATGACCCCCAACTCATGGAGCTTTGCCATGGGTTGCCCTGTCCTCTATTTCCCCATTCCTGGTGTGATGTGTCCCTGTGTCTCATAGACAGCAGGATTCTGGCAATGGCTAGCATGGGGCTGGACACCAACAGGAGCCAATTCTTCCTCATGTCCCCTAAGACCTCTCTATTGGGTGACATTTTCCCCATGACACTAGGACCTCAGCCATGGGTGAGACATGACACGTCCCTGAGACCCCATCCATGGGGTGGCATGTCCTCCATAGCCCCCAGTACCCCATCCCTTGAGTGGCATGCCCCCCAAGACTCTGGCCATAGCATGGCATGTCCCTCAGGGTGCCAGGACCCTTGGCCCATGTCCCACAGGCACTGGGATCCTGGTGATGGCCATTATAGGGCTGGACACCAATGGGAGCAACCCAAGACCGAGACCCTTCTGTGAGGTGACAGGTTACCCAGGAGTCTGGCCATGGAGTGACATGTCCCAAGGATCACAGCCATAAGATGACTCCCTCCAGTATCCCAGTCTTGGGGTGACATGTTTCCCGTGATACTGGGATTCTGGCCATGAGACAACATCCCCCATGGGATGGCATCATGCTGGAACCTTGGCTGTAGGGTGACATGTCCCCTGTATCCATGTAGTGACATGTCCCCATATCTCACAGGTGCTGGGATCCTGGCAATGGCCAATGCAGGGCCAGACACCAATGGAAGCCAATTTTTCCTGACACTGGGCCCAGCACAGTGGCTGGATGGGAAGCACAGCATTTTTGGGAGGGTGTGCCAAGGAATGGGGGTGCTGGGGCGCCTAGCCATGGTGGAGACCAACTCCCAGGACCGACCTCTCGACGATGTCAAGATCATCAAGGCGTATCCCTCGGGGTAGGGGTGTGGGGTGTCCTCCCTCCAAATTGTACTGCTTGTTTGTAATAAAAGAGGTTGGATGTAGTGGGACCCCCCCAGAGTGGTGGTTTTAGGGGGAGGTGGAGGAGGTGTCTTCAACATGGTGGGGGTTGTGAGCCCCACCAAAGGGTTTTGTGGGTGCCTTTGGAGGGGCAGGTGTCTGTCCCTGGGAACGTGGAGCTGCCAGTGGCCCCAGTTCCTGGGGGTGCAGAGTGGGTGCCACCAGTGGGTGCCCAAATTTACACCTATTTGTGGTGGCCAGGCTGGGTCCCTTGGTCTGACCCAGATGCCACGACTTTCCCAGAGGGAGTGGTCCCTGACCACTGGGTAACCTCAGTGAGGGGGGCAGCCTGTGACTGCAAGTCACAGCTTCAGTGATTTCAGCTCAGTGATTTCAGCTCTGCTTGCTAGGTTATCCTGGGCCGACACAGAGAAAGAGAGACAGGAACGTCGTGGCAATTCCACAGAGACAGCCTTTATTGTCCAGCAGCTCTGCAAAGGGTAGCCAGGGACAGTGCCTCCCTCCTGAACTGGGCAGAAGCTGGGTTTTTATGGGGGAAAGACAGGGGGGTACCAGGGGGGAAAACCAATGGGTTACAAAAGATCAACATAGTCACCAAGGCATGGTGGGATACCTCACCATCTAAGGGATATCTCTCCAGGAGGAGGTTGTGATATGCTTATCCCAGTTCTCTCAGGGCACATTTCTCCATGGAAAACCCTTGGCAGGCTCGTATGTGTCCACACCTACTGTGTGGTGTCTGCATGTCCTTAAAGTTTCCTGGAGCCTCCTGGAATGTGCCCCCACCATGGGCTTGTTGGATCACTGAGCTTTGGGCAGAAAGGGGGAATTGGTGCTGTCCCACTGGAGTGCGCTCCCCAGAAAGCACTGGGCACCCCTGAACTGGCAGTGGGGTCTGCATACCTGGCACTGGGTAACCCCTCAGCAATAGGTGTCCCCCCTGACTCCCAGTGCAGGACCTGGGACAGTACTGGGAGCTGCTGGGTGTTACTGGAAAGGGTGCAGGGAGCTACTGGGGGGATAGCAGAGGACTGAGGGACTGCATCTGCAGTTGGTGGGGCTGTAGGGATAGTGGGAAGGTTCTGATTAAGGAGGAACTAGGGGGATTGGGGGCTCATCCTGAGGAGTGGGTGGTATGGAGAGTGTCACCATGGCACCGGGGGGCGCACCAGGAGTATCGGAGCCGTGCTGGGGCTAATGGGGAGGGAGCACCGGGGGTCCGGTCTGGGGGTGATCCCGGCGGCGGTACCAATGGTCCGTAGTGTACCGAGGCAGCCTCGGGCGCAATCCCAGGGCAGCAGCAGTGGTCTTGGAGCGATCCCGAAGTTGATCCTTGGTACCCGCGTCCGGGGGCCACTGGGGAATGGGGAGGCGGAGTGGGACACCGGGGGCGATGCGGGGGGCGGCACCGGACATCTGAGGGTGATGCCGGGGATCTGGGGACTATCCCGAGGACAGTATCGGGGATCCGGTACCAGGAATGGGGAGGCGGCCCCGAGTGCCATGTGGGGGAGGTGTCGGTGGTCAGGGGAGGTACTGGGATTTGGCGTTGATCCTGGAGCGATCCCGGGAATATGGGGGGGGGGATCCCGAGGACAGTAGTGAGCTTCCAGTGGGGCACTGGACTGTGGAGGCAGCTCTGGGGATGATGCGGGAGGCATCCCGGAGATCTGGGGGCGATTCCGAGGCGGAACCAGAACCGTCCCATGGGCCCGGGAGGTCCAGGGGATTTGGAATCAGGCCCGGAGGCGGTGCGGGGGTAGATCCCAGGAATCTGGAGGTGATCCCGAAAATTTCGGGGCTATCTCGGGGGCAATATAGGGGGTCCATGGCGGTATCAGGAAAGGGGAGGCGGCCTCGGGGGCGACTCCGGAGGCGGTGCCGGGAATCTGAGGGCGATTCCAGGGGCGGTCCCGAGCCGGTCTCGGTATCCCCGCTGGCGGTTCTGAAGAAGACTCCGGGGCAGTCCCTCGGCCGGGGCTGGTGCCAGGAGCCACGGGCGGTGCCAAGGGCAGTCCCGGGGCGGAGCTGATCGCGATCGCGGTGCTGGTGTCGGGGCAGCGACGGAGCCCGGGACATGGCGGGCCTGAGCTCCCCGGAACCGAGCACCGGCCCCGGTCCCGTCCCGGCCACTCGCGTGGAGCTCACGGTGTCCTGCAGGTAGCGGGGCCGCGGCGGGAGCCGGCACCGAGGAGCGGGGGCGCGGGGAGGCGCTGGGAGGCACTGGGGAGCAGCGGCAGCTGGCGCGTTGAAAGGTGCTGGGAAGGCACTGGGTTGCACTGTGGTGTAGCGGTAGCTGCCGTTGGAGGGTGCTGGGACGCACAGAGAGGCACTGGGACACACGGGGGAGCGGCGTTTGGAGGGTGCTGAGGTGCACTGGGAGGCACTGAGATCCCCTGGGATGCGCTGGGAAGCATTGTAGAGTTGGGAGCCGCTGGCGTTGTAGGGCACTGGGTTGCACTGGAACGCAATGAAATGCGTTGGGGGATACTGGAGAGCCGCAGCAGCTGGCGTCGAAAGGTGCTGGGGTGCACGGTGATGCACTGAGATCCCCTGGGATGCACTGGGAGGCACTGGAACGCACCGGAGAGTGGGAGCAGTTTGTGGTGTGAATTGCTGGGATGTACTGGAATGCACTGAGATGCCCTGGAAGGCACCGGGAGACACTAGGGGACGGGGAGCAGTCGGCATTGTAGAGCACTGGGAGGCACGGGGAGGCACTAGGGAGGCAGGCAGCTAGCGCTGGAGGCACTGAAATGCATTAGGAGGCACTGGGATTCACTGAGAGACACTGGAATGTTCTGGGAGGCATTGGGGAGCACGGGAAGCACAGGGAGTGTTGGGTATGGGGACGCAGGGGCACTGGGTGAGCCAGGGGTGCTGAGGGTGCGGGTGTATGGGGAACCGGGCAGGCATTTGGAGGTCTCTGGGACTGGGTGCAGGGAGGTCAGGTTTGGGGGATTCTGGGGATGCAGGGGGGGTAATGTTGGACCCTGTATCCCCTGCAGCCCCTGTATCCCTTGCCCACCCTGAAACTCCCTGGGCCACACTGCACCATCTGCATCCCTTGTACCCACTTGTAGTATGCAGCCCCTGTACCCTCCCTCTGTAATCTGAGGTCTCTCTTTGGTGTCCTGACATATAGTTGTGCCCCAACACATCGCACTCTAACATGTGTCATGCTGTGCACCCTGTGCAGATGTGTCTGTGCACCCCAATGTGTTTTGTGGGGCACATCTGGAAGTGCACCATAACACCCAAGCATGCCCACCAACACCTGGCCATGCTCACCAACACCCTGCTGCGTGCCCTGACACATGGTTGAGCCCCCCAGCACATGGCCCCCCAACATGTGGCAGACATGCTTTGAACCCAAAACCATGTCCTGGGGCACACTCTGCCACGCACCGTGTCACACAACTAGGCATGACCCAACATGTGGCTCTGCACCTCAGCATGTGTTCTGAACATCTGAACACATAAGGGATACACAGTCACAGGCACAGCCAGATGCTCACACTCACAATCACTCACACACACACACACACACATGCACACTCACACTCACTCCCCCTTGCCCCCCAGGCAGCTTCTGGACAGGGACACCTTCTCCAAATCGGACCCACGTGAGTGGGGCAGGGGGGATGGGGGTGTGTTTTAGGGTCTCTGGGGATGTTTTGGCTCTTGGTTGTTTTGGGGAGTCTCTGGGGGGCTTGGGGTTTCTGGGGGTTTTGGGGTCTCAGGGGATGTTTAAATCCCTGGGGCGATTGGGGGTCTCTGGGGGGTTGGGGGGGTCCCTGAAGTATTTTGGAGGAAACTGAGGGTTTGGGGGGGTCTCTGGGACTATCAGTGCCTCTGAGGAGTGTTATGGCCTCTGGGGGTTTTTGGGGTCTCTGAGGTGTTTTGGGAGATCTCTGGGATTGTTGTGATTCTATAAGGCTTTGGGGGTCTCAAGGATATTTTGGAGGGTTCTGGAGGTGTTGGGAACTCTGGGGAGTGTTGGGATCTCTGGGGGTTTCGGGTGTTCTTTGGGGATTTTAGAGGTCTCTGGGGGATTTGGGGTGCCTCTGAGGTGTTTTGGGGGCTCTCTGGGGGAGTTTTGGGAGTCTCTGGGAATGTTGTCATCTCTAAGAATTTTGGGGTCTCTGGGGTGTTTTGGTGGGTCTCTGTGGGTGCCTGCCCCCCCTCCCCCTCTCCCCCTCTCCCCCTCCCCCCCTGTCCCTGCAGTCTGTGTGCTGTACACGCAGCGTCCTGGCAGCCACCAATGGCGAGAGGTGAGTGACCCAGTTGGTGGGGGACAGCTAATCAGCATGTTATGCTGTGCTCAGCTGCCCAATTGGCATGTTAGGTTGCACTCAGCCAGCTAATGAGGATATTGGGGTGCTAGCTGGCCAACCAATCATCAGCATGTTGGGGCAATGAGCAGTCAGCATGTGTGTGTGTGCCAACCAGATGGCCAGCCATCATGTCAGGGGTAATGGCAGGCAGCCAGCCAAGCAGCATGTAAGATTCTGGCTTATCAGCATGTTGGGGTGATGGGCAACTGGCCAATCAGGGTGTTGGGGTGCTGGGCAGGTGACCAATGAGCAGGTCAAATTCTGGCCAACCAGCATGTTGGGGTTCCAATCAGTTGGCCAGTCACCAGTGAGCAATCAGCATCTTCAGCTGCAGCACCTGGAAAATGAGCAGCTACCCAATCAATGCCAGGGGGCAGAGTGATCAGCCAACCAGCATCCTGGGGATCTGGGGAGCATGTTGAGGTGCTGGGCGGCCAGCCAGTCAGATGTCGGCATGCAGCCAGGCCCTGCTCCCTGTAATTAACAGGGTGTTAATTGCGGGCTAGTGAGCAAGGGGTGGGGTAGGGGGTGGGGGCAGCCCCACTGGCACAAAGCAGCACAAAGCAGCACCTGGGCCCGCCCCTTTCCCACGCGTGTCCCCACATGTGCCCCGGCCCGGGCTCACTTCCCGCCCTTGCCACGCCTCCTCTGCCCACATGTGTCCTTATGTCCCCAATCTCATGTCCTTGTGTCCTCATATTGCTGTGTCCCTGTTCCCACATCCCTAACCCCATGTCCACATGTTCTCACTGTGTCTCCATGTCACTGTGTCCCCATATCTGTGTGTTCCCATGTCCACATTCTCATCTCCCACTGTCCCCCATCCCCATGCCTCCACCCTCACTCCCATGCCCCCATTTTCACACATCCCTGTGTTCCCATGTCCTCATTTCCCCATGTCTCCATCCCTATGCCCCCATGTCTCTGCATCTCCATGTCCCCATACCACTGTGGCCACATCACCACATTCCTATGTCCCCATGTGCTTGTATCCCTATCTCCCATGCCCATGCTCTTGTGCTCCCATGTCCTGTGTTTCCATGTTCCCATCCTTATGCCCCCATGTCTCAGCATCTCTATGTCCCCATCTCCGTGTCCACACCACCTCATCCCCATGTCCCCATGTCCTTGTGTCTCCATGTCCCTGTCTACACCCCATGTTTTCCTGTCACCCCATTACCCCCACTGTCCCCACATCCCCCAGTTTGGCCGGACTGAGGTCATCGACAATTCCCTGAATCCTGATTTCCTGCACAAGTTTGTCCTCGATTATTGCTTTGAGGAGCGGCAGAACCTGCGCTTTGACTTGTGAGTGGCCCCTGTGGCCTCAGTATCACCCCCAGTGTCACCCCCCTGTCCCCCAGGATCACCCCCTGGCCACCCTGGCACAGCCCCCCAGAGTGTCCTTTTCCCCATCCTTGTTCTGTCCCCATTCCTGGACCATCCCTATCCTATCCTATCCTATCCTATCCTATCCTATCCTATCCTATCCTATCCTATCCTATCCTATCCTATCCCTGTCCCATCCTATCCTATCCCTGTCCCATCCTATCCTATCCCTGTCCCATCCTATCCCTGTCCCATCCTGTCCCTATCCACATTCCATCTCTGTCCATTCCATTGTGTCCCTATCCCATCCTGTCCCTGTACCATCCTATCCCTATTCTTTTTTCCATCCCATCCCTGTCTCCATCCCTGTCCCATCCAAGGCCCCCTGTTCCTGTTCCATGCCCACATGTCCCCTCTGCCCCCAGGTATGATGTAGACTCCAAGAGCCCTGACCTCTCCAAGCATGTAAGTGCAGCATCAGTCCTGCTCCTCTGGCCTTCCTGGGATGGGCATCTCCATGGTGACACCCAATGTTCCTGATCCTGCAGGATTTCCTGGGCCAGGCATTCTGCACCCTGGGGGAGATTGTGGGTTCAGCCGGCAGCCGCCTGGAGAAACCCCTGACGTGAGCCCTCCTCTTTGCCCCCGTGTCCCTATGTCCCCAGTGTCCCCAGGTCCCACACCAGTGAATGTGAGCCCCTCTTGTGCCCCGGTGTGCCTGTGTTCCTCCTAGAGAAGCCCCTGACATTAACCACCCCAGCCCCAGTGTCTCCATGTCATTCCCACCCACCCTCCCCCGGGAAACCCTTTGTGTGAGCCTCCACTGTGGTCCAGTGTTCCCAAAGTCCCCAGGGTCCCCATGCCCCCCACTGGAAAAACCCCTGATGGTAGCCCCCCTCGGCCCCAGTGTGGGGTCCCTATGTCTCTGACCCAGGGAAGCCCCAAACTTGAGCCACCTTCCCCACAGATCCCAGTCACCATGTCCTCTCCCATGGAGAAGCCCCTGACATGAGTCCTGCCTGTGCCCCAGTGTCCCTGAGGTGACCATGTCCCCTTTGGAGAAAACCCTGGGTTTCTCCAAAACCAAGAGAAAAGGAACCTGGGAAACGCAGTGTACCAAACCCAGTGTGCCCATGTCTCCCCCTGGAGAAGCCCCTGACATGAACCACCCTGGCCTCAGTGTCCCCAGTGGTCCCAAAGTTCCCTCCCCAGACAAGTCCCTGTGACATGAGTCCCCACCCCAGTCCCCATGTCCCCATGTGTCTCTGGGTCCCATTTGGTATGCCAACAGTGGAACTTTGGCAGACTAGCTTTTTTTTTTTTTTTCAGGGGGGCGGTTGGCTTTTGGCAGGAAAGGGGTCTGGCCTTTTGGTGGGGTTTAATGGGTCTGGCTTTTTCTTGGGGTGGTGGCTTTTGGAGGCAATGTGGGTTTGGGGGATCTGGATTTTGAGGGATCTAGCTTTTGGAGGAGTCTGCATTTGGAGGGATCTCACAATTTTGCAGTTGGCTTTTTTAGGGGCATTTTGTTTTGTGGGAATTTTTCGGGGGGGGGGCTGGGGTTTCTTTTGTAGAGCTCCTTTTATTGGGAGGGGGGGCTTTTTCTTGGGCGGGGATCCCCTCCATCATCCTTCAGCATGTGTCCCTGCAGGATGGGGACAGTCACCATGCACCCCCGGGGCAGGAGACCCACCCCAGCCGCCTCCAACGGGTAAGTTTTGGGGTGCCCAGTGTGTGGGGAACACCCCCAGAACACCATGTGTGCCCCCGCCATGCTCACATCCCATCCCGGCAGTGGCATTCTGGGGAAGAAGTGCGGCACCATCATCCTCCTCGCTGAAGAGTTGGGAAACTGCCGGGTGAGCTGCAGCAGGGCAGGGGCGGGGGGATCTTGGGGACCCTGCAATATCGGGGGTGGCTGAGACACCCTAGCCCGCATCCCAGAGAAGAAGGCTGTCTATCCCCACACTTTATTCTGCCTATCCTGGATCCCTCCTTCCCTCATGGAGCAGCCACCCCGCAGGATACAACCTCTGACGGGGGTGCAGGGTGGATGACCGCCCCCCGATTCCACCCCCCAGGATGTGGCCACCCTCCAGTTCTGCGCCAACAAGCTGGATAAGAAGGATTTCTTTGGGAAATCTGACCCCTTCATGGTCTTCTACCGCAGCAACGAAGACGGGACGTGAGCGACCTCCCCCTCAAAACCGCAGTGACCCTCTCACGCCTCATGGGAGGGCTCAGCCCCAGAACAGGACCTCTATGTCCCCATGGGCTGGCATTGGCGAGGGGTGAAAAAAAAAAAAAATCCTCACTGCACTGTAGGGGTGACAGACTGGGGGAGTGTTGGGATGGGGGAGTGACCCCCCTTGTGCTCCTCTTGTCCTCCCCCCAGTTTTACCATCTGCCACAAGACGGAAGTGGTGCGGAATACACTGAACCCTGTCTGGGCAGCCTTTGCCATTCCTGTGCGTGCCCTCTGCAACGGGGACCATGACCGGTGAGTACTGGGGGACTGGGACACCCTGCACCCCCTCTTTGTCCCCAAAGATCTCCTTCCCCCTTTTCTCCCCATCTAGGGTCCACTAGGGCATCCCCTTCCCTCATCTCTGTCATACCCGGGGATATCGGGATACCAGGATACCAGGGTCATACCCTGCACTCCCATCTCTGTGGTCCTCTGAACCCCCTTCCCCCCCCACCCATGGTGCCCCAGGATGCCGTGCAGCCCCATTCCCTGTCTCTATGGTCCTCTAGGACCCCCTTCCCCCTGTCCCCTCATCTCTATGGGCCCCCAGGAACCCCTTTTCCTTCTTTCCCCCATCTCCCAGGTCCTCCAGGAACTCCTGCACCCCGTGTCCCCATCTCTATGGTACCTCTGGACTTCTAGACCCCCCATCACTCTATGCCCATGGTACCCTAGGACCACCTTTCCCTCTCACTGTGGTCCCGCAGAATCCCTTCCCCTGTGTCTGTGGTACCCCAGGACCCTCTTTACACCCTTCCCCCCATCTCTGTGGTCCCAAAGACCCCTGCATCTCCTTCCCCATCTCTGTGGTACCTCTGGAACCCCTGCAGTCCTTCCACCCTCTCTGTGGCCCCTTGAGAACCCCTTCCCCCCATCTCTGTGGCCATCTGAGACCCTCAGAACCCCTTTCCCCATCTCTGTGGTACCAGTAGCACCCACCCCCCTTCCCCGGTGTTATCTGCTTTTGCCTCAGTTTACCCATCTGGGCAATGGGCATCACAGCTGTTGCCAAGCCATCCCCCCCACCCAATCCCAAAACAGTGTCACAAGCTGCTGCCCTGGCAAACATCTCCTCACGCAGCTTTGGCCCGGTGTTGGACGTTGCTGTGGCAACAATGGATAAAAATATCCAAACGAGGAGGAGAAGGAAGCAGGAAAAAGCCCACAGAGGCATCAAAACAAATCCCACAGGGAGTGGGGGGGTTGTGTGTGATGGGCCCCTGGGGAAGGGGGAGGATGGGATTTGGGGGTGTTGCGGGGTGTTGGTGACCCCCCTCCCCCCACGCTTTGCAGAGCCATCAAGGTGGAGGTATACGACTGGGACCGTGATGGCAGGTGAGCTGTTCGTGATCCTGGGGACCCCCTGGGGACCCCCTGGACCTGCACCTCCTGGTGACAGGGACTCCCTGAGTGATGGGGACGCCCTCACCCCTGTGTCCACAGAGAGATGGAAATCCTCCCCCTAGGTGATGGGAATCCCCCCTGACTATTTGGGACTCCCTGGTTGATGGGAAACTTCCTGGGCAATGGGAAACCCCCCATCCCCACACCCCTGAGTGATGGGGATCCCCCTGGGTAATGGGAACCTCCCTAACCCCACTGATGAAGAACCACTCGCCTTGCAGCCACGACTTCATTGGGGAGTTCACCACCAGCTACCGGGAGTTGGCGCGAGGCCAGAGCCACTTCAATGTGTATGAGGTATGGGGGAATGGGTACATGGGTGGTGGGGAGCACGGTCCTGCACCCCTCTGTGGGGGTCACAGTCCCACTGCAGCACCTCCAGGGGTTATGGTCCCCAGGGTCCCTCTCTCTGCTACACCTCTGGGTGCCAGGGTCCCTGTGTGTGTGTGCTACATACCCCAGGGTCCCCATGATGCAGTCCTGGGGTGTTACGGTCCCCAGAGTCCTTCCCAGCGTTGCACACTGGTGTGTCATGTACCCAAGGATCCCTCTCCTGCACTCTGAGGTGTCATGGTGCCCAAGGTACTCATGCTGCAGACAATAGAGGTTCACAATCTCTAGGATTCCCTGTACTAAAGCCCCACACTTCACCCCTGGGGTGTTATGGTTCCCATGCTGCACCCTGGCGTGTATCACCCACAGCTGCTCCCTTGAGGGTCCCCAGCCCCTGCCATGGTATCTCCAGCTACACTACAATCCCCAGGGTCCCCACATGCACCCCTGGGTGTCACAGCCCACCATGTGCTCTTCAAGGTCCTTCTCTGCACCTCAGCACAGTGCTCCCACTGCTGCTCCCCAGTATATTCTGTGCCCCCCTGTGCCCTGGGATGTGACAGTCCCTTACACTGCTCTCTGGGGCCTCCTGTCCCTGTGAGAAGCAGCCCCCTTCCCTCCCCTCCCATCCCTGCAGGTGGTGAACCCCCGGAAGAAGATGAAGAAGAAGAAGTACCTGAACTCGGGGACAGTGAGGATGGGGATGTGCAGAGGTGGGGGACACAGAGGGTGTGGGCACTTCCTCCCCTGAGACCCATGTCCCCACAGGTAACACTGCTTTCCTTCACTGTGGAGGCTGAGCACACCTTCCTGGACTACATCAGGGGCGGGTGAGCAGGGGGTCCCCAGCACCTCAAGCTGCACTTTTGAGGGTCCTGAACATCCCCAGCTCCTTCCTTGGGGGTACCCAGCACCCTAAGCTGCTCCCTCAAGGGCAGGGAATCCCCAACACTCCCAGCCTCTACTTCACTGGCAGGGGTGTCCCCCAGACCCTTATCTCCTCCCTTGGAGGTCTCCAGTACCACTGTTGCTCCCTCGGAGATGCGGGGTGGGGTGTTCTGCTAACTAAGTTGTTCCTCAACTCCTTTTGGGATCCCCAGTACCCCTAGTTTCTCCACTGGGGGTCGTCAGCACACCTAGCTCCTCCATTGGGGGTCTCAGCAACTCCACACAGATGCTTCCTTGGGGGCAGGCCATCCCTATCACCCACAACCACTTCATTGGTCATCCCCAGAACCCAGAATTGCTCCCTTTGGAAGTCTCCAGCACTTCTAACAGCTCCCTTTGGGGTCCCCAGCACCCCCATCTTCTCCACTGGGGGTCCTCAGCACCCCCACACAGATGCTTCCTCATTGGCAGGGGCACCCCAGTACCCCAAATTGGTCATTTGGGGGTCCCCAGCGCCCCCAGCCCCTCCCTTAGGTGAAGCATGGTGACAGTGCAGGGACACTTGAGGGTCCTCTGAATTGGGGGATGGGTGTACCCAGTCCAGCCTGTGGCCCCAGGGGTGTCCCTGAACACCCCCTGTGCCACCCCAATGCCACTTTACCCCCCAGGACCCAACTCAACTTCACAGTGGCCATCGATTTCACGGCATCCAATGGCGAGTAGGGGGTTTGTCCCCCCAAGGGGGGATTTATTTGAGACAGCTTGAGACAGTTGTAACCAGTTTAGTGGCATGGTGGTGTCATCCTTGTCACTGATTTGGGGACATGGTGTTGTCCTTGTAGTTGTGCTGGGGACATGGTCATGTCTCCCTTGTCACTGGGTTGGGGTCATGATGGCATTGTCCTTGTGGGTTTGGGGTCATGGCAGTGCTATTTTTGTCACTGTGTTGGTCCAAGGGTGTCGTATTTGTCACCAGCTGTCACTGGGTTGGGGATTTGGTGCCATCATCATTGTCATTGAATTTGGGACAGAGTGGTGCCATTCTTGTCACTGGGTTGGGGTCATGGCAGTGTCATCCTTGTTACTGTGTTGGTTCCATGGTGGTGTCATCCTTGTCACCAGCTGTCACCAGGCTGAGAATGTGGTGGCATCACCCTTGTCAACAAGTTTGGAGTATGGCAGTGTCACCCTTGTCACTGGTTTGGGGACATGGTGGCATTTGGAGACATGGTGGGATCATCCTTGTCTTTGTCACCATGTTGGGGATGCCATCATCCTTGCCACTGGGCTGGGGCCATAGTGGTGCCATGGTTGTGGGAATGTTGGCGGTGTTTTGGGGTGCTTGGCAGATTATAACAGTGCTGGGGAGGCTGTGGAGGTGCTGAGCCCCATGCCTGTGCAGGGAACCCCTCGCAGCCCACGTCCCTGCACTACCTGAGCCCCTTCCAGCTGAATGCCTACAGCCTGGCACTGCGGGCTGTGGGGGACATCATCCAGGACTACGACAGTGACAAGATGTTCCCAGCCCTTGGCTTTGGTGCCAAGGTCCCTCCGGATGGGCATGTGTCTCATGAGTTCCCACTGGTGAGGGGCCAAGGCGGGATAGGACTGTGGATGAAGGGTGGTGTCCTTGTCAGCCAGTTGGGGACATGATGGGATCATCTTGTCACATTGTTTGTGACACAATGGTATCATCCTTGTCCTTGGGTTGCGGCTGTGGTGGTGTCATCCTTGTCACTGATCTGGGGCCATGGCGGCGTCATCCTTGTCACCAGATTAGGAATGTGCTTGGTGTTCTCCTTGTCACCAGTTTGGGTACATAGTGTGTTTGGGTTGGGTCTGGACTGGGGATGTGCTAGTGTCATCCTTGTTTTGGGTTGGGAACATAGTGGCATCATCGTTTTGTCACTGGGTTGGGGCCATGGCAGTGTCATGCTTTACAGTGAGTTGGGAATATGTTGGTGTCTCTCTTGTCACTACATTGTGGGCATAGTGGGATTATCCTTGTTAGCATTTGGGGGCCATGGCACTACCATCCTTGTCTGTGGGTGGGGTCTGTGGTGTCACCCTGTCCATAGGTGGAGGCCTTGTTGCCACCGTGGTCCTGGTGACCCCATCACTAAGGTGTCAGAGGGTCTGTCTGACACAAGGGTCTGTCACACTGTCAGAATGGGGATGCATCAAACCCAGCGTGCTGTGGCATTGCGGGGGTGCTGGAGGCTTATCAGCGCAGCCTGCGCCGTGTCCAGCTCTATGGCCCCACCAACTTCGCCCCTGTTGTCAATCATGTTGCCCGGTAAGAGGGGCCCCGTGCCCTGGGGTGGGGTCCCTGAACCCCCCAGCGTCATACAGGGTTCCCCCAGCTCGGCGGCCATGGTGCTGGATGGGTCCCAGTACTTCGTCCTCCTCATCATCACCGATGGTGTCATCTCTGATATGGCCCAAACCAAGGAGGCCATTGTCAATGTGAGACCCTCGTGGTGGCACTGGGGCAGGTGGTGGCGACGCTGGGTGCTGGGGGTGGGGAGCCTGGGACCCTTGGGTGATGGGGGCAGTGGGGAGGGATTGAGACCCTTGAGGGGGTAGGAAAGGTTGGGGACCTGATTCTGAGGGATGGGGAGTGGCTGGGACCCTTTGGGTGATGGGGTGGGCTGGGATGCTGAAGCTGAGAAGGGAGGGGGTGGGTTGGGACCCTTGCATAGTGGAGGGGTGGGGAAGGGGCTGGCAGCCCTGGGTGCTGGGAGGGTGTATGGATGCCTGTGTGCTGGAGGTAGTGAGGAGGGACTGGGACCATTGAGAGGTGGGAAAGGGCTTGGTCCAGGTACTGACCTCACCAATGAGGGATTTGGGGGACCCCTTCCCAGCCCACCCAGCAGGGGACTTCACCCCCATTATTCCTGGGATGCCGTGGGTGGGACTGGTGTGTAGGGATGAAAAGGTGGACTGGGACATTGGGCAGCACTGGCATTTGGGGGGGCACTGGGACATGAGCAGGATGCACTGGGACAAGGGGATGCAATGGGTTTGGGATGCAACTGGATGGGGGGATGCACTGGGATTTGGAGGTGCACTGGGACATGGGGGGGTGGTCACTAGGAAAAGAGGGTGCCCTGGGGCTTGGGATGTATCTTGGAATGAGGGTGCAATCCCTGGCATTGAGAAGGGGCTGGGACCCCCAGGGTTTGGGGAGTAGGGGTGTCTGGAACCACTGGGTGCTGCAAGGGGGTTGGAAAGTTCCTGGAACCCTCCGGTGCCAGTGGGGAGGTCTGAGACCCTTGGGTGATGGGGGGTAGTGAGGGACTGTAATCCTAAGGGGAGGGGCTGTTGGCAGTCCTGGGTTCTGTGGGCAGGGGGGAGCAGCTCATTTGGTAACAACATCATTACATTTCATGGGACTCCCTTCACCCCCCCAACTCCCTCAGGCTGCAAAATTGCCCATGTCCATCATCATCGTGGGAGTCGGCCAGGCTGAGTTTGATGGTAAGATATGGAGGCAGTGGGGAACTAGGGGAAGGCTGAGGGATCAGGTGGGGGGTCCCTTGGCCACTGGAACTATGTATGAGTTGAATATGTCAGTATATGAATGGGCTCAGCATACTCCTGCAAGGGGGCTTGGGGGTTCTGGGTGTTGGGTTGAAAGGGACATATTGGGATCCCACCCTGGGGTGGGGGACACTGAGGTGCTGCTGACTTCCCCCCCGCATCACCCCCAGCCATGGTGGAACTGGATGGGGATGACATCCGCATCTCTTCCCGTGGGAAAGTGGCCGAGCGTGATATTGTCCAGGTACTGACCTCACCAATGAGGGATTTGGGGGACCCCTTCCCAGCCCACCCAGCAGGGGACTTCACCCCCATTATTCCTGGGATGCCGTGGGTGGGACTGGTGTGTAGGGATGAAAAGGTGGACTGGGACATTGGGCAGCACTGGCATTTGGGGGGGCACTGGGACATGAGCAGGATGCACTGGGACAAGGGGATGCAATGGGTTTGGGATGCAACTGGATGGGGGGATGCACTGGGATTTGGAGGTGCACTGGGACATGGGGGGGTGGTCACTAGGAAAAGAGGGGGCCCTGGGGCTTGGGATGTACTTTGGAATGAGGGTGCAGTGGGACATGGGAGCAAGCATATTAGGATATGGGGGAGCACTGAGATATGAAGGAGACAATAGGATGTGAAAAGAGGTTTACTGGGAAATGGGGAGGGGATTGGGATGTTGGGGGTGTGCCAGGATAGAGAGGCAGTGCACTGTGACATGGGAGAGATGCACTGGGAAAAATGAGTGCACTGGGGTTTGGAATGTACCTCAGTGTGGGGAGGCACTGGGACATTGGGTGCACTGATACATGGTGGGGGCCTTCACTGGGAAAAGTGAGTGTGCTGACATTTGGAACATATCTTGGAGTGGGAGTGCAGTGGGACATGGGAGTTTATTAGGTTATGAGGGGCACTTTGGCATGAAAGGGGTTGGTACTGGAAAATGGAGGGGCACTGGGACATGGAGGGGCATGTACTGGGATATGGAGTTGCACTGGAACGTGAAGGGGGGTGTACTAAGACATTTGGCGGGGGGCTGGATGTGCAGGGGAGCCTGGGATGTTAGGAGGCAATGGGACATGGGGGAACGCTGGGACGTTGGAGTGGGACACTGGGATATGGGATGTACCTGAATGTGGGGTGCACTGGGACATGAAGGAGGAGGGTATTGGGGAAGGGGGGTGCACTGAGGAATGAGGGGAGCACTCAGATGTGGGACACACTGGGACATAAGGTAGGGTGTGCGGACAAATGAAGGGGGCACTGGGGCACCGGGATGGACCTGGATGTGGGGAGCAGTGGGACATGGGGGGGTACTGGGAAATAGGAGGGGGCACTGGGATGTGGGGGCTGTGGGAAATGGGAGACACTGAGATATGGAGAGGCCCTGGGGCTTGTGATGCACGTGGATGTGGGGGTGCCCTGAGACATGAAGAGGGATGTACTGGGAAATAGGGAACACTGGGATGTGGGAGTACATTAGGGCATGGGGGGGCACTGGGTCTTAGTATATACCTGGATGTGGGGGACACTGGGACATCAGGAATGGGGAGGGGACACCGGAGCTGCTGTGTGTGAGGCACACAGTTCCGGGGGCTTCCCAGCCCTGGACTCCCTCAACTGCTCTGCCCCCCTGTGCCTCCCCAGTTTGTTCCATTTCGTGACTACATGTCGGGGGGTCCCGGTGCGGGGCTGAGCATGGCAGGGCTGGCACGGGAAGTCCTAGCTGAGATTCCTGACCAGCTCCTCTCTTACATGAAGGCACGGGGCATAAAACCCACCCCCATCCCTCCCATGTCCTCTGAAACCCCACCACCCTGACTGCCCACCAACATACCACGTCCCCTCATCCTACCCCAGGACCCTCTATCCAGGGACCAAAGGTGGCCATACTCTGCCAAGGATCTGGGACTAGGGGTCCCTCTCCTCCCTTCCACAACCTTGGGGTCCCCCCCTGATCTGGGGTCCCTTCCCCAATCCGGGTTCCCACCACCACACCCACAAACCAACTTTTGGGTTTCCCAGGGGGATTGGGATGGTGTTTCCCGAGTATTCTTGGCCATGGGACTCCCCCCTATGCCCATCCAGGACTGTCCTGCCCCCACAGAAAAGGGGCAGGGGGTCTTCGCCATCCTGACCAGAAAGCTGGGGTATGCAGGAACCTCCACCAAATGTGGAGTGCCCCCCTAGGGTGATGCATGAACCCTCCTAAGACACCCGCCTCCCCAAATCCATGGTCCCCCCCCAATTTCCTGGGCTGATCCCAGTGGGGTCCCCAGTGTTTTGTGTTCCCCCATGCCATATTGCATGTGTCTATGTGGGTTTGTACTGAGTTGCCTTAAATTGCAATAAATTATTGTGGCTTTAATTACAGCCCACTCCTCCGGGATGCCATGCCCCATCATCTCCCTTAAAAGGGGCCCTGCCCTGGCTGTATGTGTAACCTCCCCGTGTGTGACCCTCCCCAGCTGTGTGACACCTCCCAGGACTGTGACAACTCCCCTGCTCAGCTGTGTGACTCCCTGCCTCCAACTCTGCCGCCTCCTGATCTGTGATCCCCTCCAAGCTGTGACCCCCTGCCCACTGTGTCACCTGCTCAACCTGAACTCTCCCCACCAAGCTCTGACCCCTCCCCAGCTGTGTGACCCTCCACATACTGTGTGAACCCCCTCAAATGTATGACCTCACTGTGTGTGTGTGACCGTCCCCCAGCTCTGACACTCCCCAACTGTGTGACAGCCCCCATGTCTAATATCCCCTGGCTCTGATACCCCTACACAGTTTAACCCCCACCCAGGCTTTGGCATCCCACTCAGCTCTGAACCCCCACCAGCTGTGTGACAGCCACCCACTGTGTGATACCTTCTGACTGTGTGCCACCCCTCCAACTGTATGACCCTGCCCCCAGTGTGTGACCCCCAAAACTGCAAATACACAGAAACCACCGGGGCAGGGGACAGTTGGGTTATTTACAGGACTCTGCCCCCTCCCATACCCCAAAATTGCTTGAAGGGGACTCTGGGAAGTTGGGGGGACTCACAGAGACCTAACACCCAACTGAGGGGGTCATAAAGCCCCTGAAGCCCAACTGTGGGGGTCACAGAGTCCCCACATGCCACTGGAGGATTAGGGGGGTCACAAAGCCCTCACACTCCACTTTTCACGGGGTAACAAAGGACACCCCAACTGTGTCTGTGGGGTCTCATAAGGCCCCCCACTCCACCTGGGGGGGGGGGGGGGGGTCACAAAAG